AAAAAAAAAAAAAAAAAAAAAAAAAAAAAAAAAAAAAAAAAAAAAAAATCAAATCCTGCCACGCTCCTCTCCATCATCCTCGCTAGCAAACTGCGGCCAAAAAAAAATCCAGCCCCAAAACCCAATGGCAGCTTCTAAAATAAATAAAATACATTTGTGTGACACAGGCGGGTAAGGCAACATGCTGTTTCATGTGCTCAACCTCACTGGAAGCTACAGATCCACAGGGGCACCAGCGAAGTCACGTTGTCGTGAAGCGTCGGCTTGTCGATTCAGGGTGAAAAGAGTCTGAAAAAGGTGTTTTGCGACTCACGGTTTGTTGCTTCTCTCAGAAGTGATCCAAGAAAGGGGTCCCAAAAATGCAGGAGCATGTCTGCCCATGCCCTTGGCTGGCCAGGAGTTTCTCCAGCAGCTTCGCTAATGTGTCTGCAGGTGGAAAGGCTGGAAGATGGACGGACCCACGGCCATCACCTCTTTTAACGAACCCCAGCTCATAAGAGGAGACCCCAAGGCCTCTTAATGAACCCTCGTCTCATTGGAGAAGACCCAGGGGGTGCAAATTGCATCCTGTTTTGCACCAACACCCCACCAAGAAGGAAGGTTTCAGAGGAAACTGCAGGAGGGATGCAACGGGGCCGGGGCCGAGGCACCACCAGCTAAAGGACGCCAAAAAGCCCCGGGAGATGCCAAAAAAAACCCTGGAAACACCAAAACCCCCCCCAACCTGGAAATGCCAAAAAACCCACCTGGAAACGCCAAAAAACGACCAGGAGACGCCAAAAAAAAGGTCAACAAACATCTCCAAGTCCACAAATCCCACCCAGGCAGGATGGGCCTCCCTTATAGGGCTATATAGGGGACCTCCTGTACCCCCCTTGCTATAGCAGGGTGGATAGTAGGGGGCTATATACCTCCCCAAGGGTATATATGACACACACCCCCCCAGGGCTGTAAGAGGGGGTGGACCCCTACCCTCAGCCCGTATGGGGCTCTATAGGGTCCCTCTCATAGGGCCGTACAGGATGGGGAACCTCAATCCCAAGGGCTTTATAGCTTCCCCTCTCACAAGGACACATTGAGGAGACCCCCCCCCCCCCCGCCATGGCACAGCCGTATAGGACTATAAAGTCCCTCTTGCCCCACAAGGACGTATGGGAACCCCTACAGGGCCATATGGGGGGGTGCCTCATTCATCTGCCCACCCACACAGGGCCATAGAGGGGTACAGCCACACTCAGGGGTCTACAGAGACCCCCCCTCACTGGGCCATACTGGGGGGACACCCCTGCACTCTACAGGACCCCTCCCAGGACTGTATAGGGGGAAATTCCCACTCTATCAGGCCCCCTTCCAAGAGTTTCACGGGGGTAAGCGCACCTCTGCGATCCGTAAGACCCTCTCGCAGGGATGTATAGGGATGACTCCCCCCCCGCCATGGCCGTTATAGGACACTCACAGGGCCGCACCTAGGGGACCCCCACCCTTTGGACTCTATAGACCCCTTTCTCAAGGGGATCCCACCCGCAGGGCTCTATAAGCCCCCTTACAGCACCATTTTGGGGGGGGTATCTCCCCTCACGGAGCCGTACGGAGGGATCTTACCCCCCCTCAGCAAACTTCACCCCGAACAATGAGCGCGCACCACCTTCGCCCCCCCCCTCCCCACCGCCCACTTGGTCCCACCCGCCACACGGAGGCGCAGAGGGAGGGAACCCCGCTTCCCGCGCCGGGCCGGACCGCACCATTTACCCCCCCCGCGGGGGGGTGCTGGTGGAAGAGGGTGGGGGGGGTGGGGGAAGACGCCACACTCACAGTTTCACCACATTCTGTACCACCGCCGCCATCTTCCCTCCGCCGCCGGGGCCCTGCGCCGCCCAGCGCGCATGCGCCGCGGGTGGAGCGGGGAGGGAGGGGGGAGTGTATGCGCGGCGAGGGGTGTGGGGGGGAGAGCGGCCGCTCTGCGCCTGCGCAGAAGGTGCGCCTGCCCCGCCCCTTGCGCCGGCGCATGCGCTGCAGCGCGGTGGTGTTGGCGCCGCGCTGCGCATGCGCGGAGGGAAAGGCGGGAAAAGCTGAGGGGAGAGGCGCGAAGGGGTGTGGGGGGGAATGGAGGGGGAGGAAAATGAAGGGAAAAGGGGAAAATCAGAGGGGAAGGGGTGGAGTAAGGGTGCAGGGAGAAAATGGGAGAGGTAAATGGGGAGGGGAGGGAGGATGAAGGGTGGTGGGGTGGGAAAGTGAGGGGCAAAATGGAGAGGGGAGGTAAACGTGGACGAGTAAAGAGCTGGGGTGAAGGAAAAGGGGTAAGGAGGGAAAGGGAGACAAGGAAAAAGGGGGTGAGGGCAATAGGGAGGGATGAAGGGTGTTTGGATGGGGGGATAAGGAAAGAGGACTGGGGAGGAGGAAGGCTGCTGGGAGGAGGTGACAAGGAAAAAGGGATGAGGGTTGGGGGAGGATGGGGTCCTCCCCATCAGATCTCAAACCTCTGTAGAGATTCCCTACAGGTGGTTTTGGTTTCAGTGTGTGGTGCTGGCACAACAGCCCTGCCCCAAATGCAACCCCCCCAGCCTCTTTATCCCTAGAAATTCAGGTAGAAAATTTAAGTTTTTGAGTTCTTTTCCCTTTTTATCAAATCTCAATTAACCAGAGATCTCAAAATTCATCCCACAGTGGAAAGAGGTAGACACAGGGTATTCCTTCTGTTATTCCTTCTTACTTCCACAGGTTTTTTTCCTGTTTGCTGGGAAATTGTTTTTTTTTTCAGCTATGTCCAAGGTTATACAGCGCTTTAAACCTTTCTCTCCGCCCTTCTTCCTCCTCTTAATCCCACGCCTGCTGTTATTTGCGTGCACGCAGCCGCTTTATTTTCCTGCCCCGTCAATAAAAATCAACACTGTCACCGTGATTAACAGTTGTGACACTCTGGCTACAGGCACTGCAGTGGGTTCAGGCGCACCGACCCCACGGCAGGGGGTCAAATAGCAAATATCGGCGTAGGCGTTCGCCAAGTTTATTGCGTCGTTAATCCGCTGCCCGGAAATCTTGGGATAACGAGGGAGTTGCGGGGTAGGTAGGACTACCACCAGCCAAGCATCTGCCTGTACCCCCCAAACCATCTGCTTGTGTATTCCCGTTGCCCGCCCTGGAATTAATCAAACCTCTCGTTGACTTATTCTGCCTTAAGCCTCCCTGAGAAAGCAAGGGAGAAAGAGGTTGTGTGGCACATGCCGGCTGAGTCACAGCAGGGAACAGCGTTCCTGCCCAAGTGACTCACGCTTCTTAGAACAGAGTAAAAAAACCCCAGGGTTTAGCAACAGCTGTTTGCATAAATCGGCAATTTGAGGAATGGTTAATTAGGGACCAAACTGAGGGAGTGAAGGAAGCCTCCATCCTGTGCAGAAACCCCTGGGCAGGGGGAATCCCAAATGATTTTATTGCTAATAGCTAAAAATTAATTAAAGAAATGGGGTTTTTTTGCAGCTAAGGAGATGAAATTATGCCCAGAAAAATGGGAAAAAAATAGGATTGGGATAATTTCAGGGGGTTTGTATCAAATATAGTCTGAGGTGGGTAAGAGAGGGCAGCAGCAGGCAAAGGTGAAGGAGGAGGTGTGTTGCAGACAAGGAGCATCACCTTTTCACAGTAGACCACTACCAAAATCCAGCAAATTAAGGCATCCTTTCCATTTAGCCCCTTGTAAGAGCAGCTCCTGTTTCTCTTCCAGATACCGGAGTTGAGCTGTCACCTTGGGAAGGCACCGTAATTCCGGCACCGGAGCAGTGCAGGATGATCGGGGAGGGACGGATCCACTCAGATGCAGGCGGGAGCTGTCAAGAGTGAGTGAGGTGCCAAATTAAAGCCGTTAACACCCCAAAATCCATCCCCCGGCTTGGAACAAGTGGAAGGAGCAAAAAGGGGGGAGAAAAGGGGATCTTAGCCGTTACCTCCATGGCGTTACTTCGAAATGGGGGGAAGCTGCTGCCCAACGTTGCCCAGATCCGGCAGCGACTGTTTTGTAATTGCTGATGGTAATTAGGCAGAGGTGGGGGGCAAACTCAAACATCTTCATCCCTGGCTCTCTTTAATTCACTAATTAAGGTGAAATCCAGGAAAACAAGCACCTCTGTGTTGTCACAACCCACCCCACTCTGCACAAAGGTGTTGGGCCACAAAAAAAAACCCAACCAATGCCAAAGCATTCTGAAAGCTGCCCAAAACAATCCATTCCGGGCTTTTTTCCTTCAAATTGACCAAAAAGTAGCTGCGGCATGTTAGCAAGGAGAGGGGATTGGGAAACAAAGCCACGTCTCCCATCAAAATATGTTGTCACCAGGGTAAATTAATTACAAATGATGCTCTAAAACGCGCCCATCCCATCACTGGAATTATTTCTGGTAAGAAAAATCCTAAAATGAATAAAAATAAGTCACCGCCATATGGATGGGTGTCATTCGGAGGAAGTGCCATCAGTTTAGACCAGGTAAGGGTTGAACCTTACCAGCATAAAATCAAATAGAAATTAAACCCAGCAGCTGCCTGGACCAAGCTCAATTAACCTCATTTTCTTAATTATTTTGCAGGCTGAAGGCTTGAAAAAGCAGTTTAAGCCCAAATTTTTGGTGTTTCCACCAAAACAGTGTTTTGGGCTTACAGCGAGAGTGCCCCGCCCGACACAGATGAGTGAGAGTAAGCAAGAGCAGGGACACAATTGTGCGGTGATGAGCTACAAGCTCATTAATCTAATGACTCGTTATTTAACGATACCTGTAAGAAACAGCAATCAATGATGTAAAGAAATACACAGTCAGGCTCCAGCAAGCCAGCAAACAGTCAGTGTGCTCTTCAAGAGGTGCCTTAATTCCTTACTAGGGGGGACTCCCAGCCTCATTGTGGGCTAAAATTACCAGAAACAGTTAAAAATGATGCAGTTAATTAATGACGGCCTCTAGGAAACGAGGTCTTGCTCGCTTTTACACCGTTACTGAGTCCAACAGGCTTCTCTTGTCCTTGATTCAGAGACCGGGAAAGAGAATGAAAGAAAGCCCTCGCAGCTGGGCGGTAAGGTCTTTCGCCCCAACGTCAGCAGAATTGGCATTTCCAGTGATTTTTTTTTTTTTTTTAATTATTATTTTTTAAAAAGCAGAAGGGATTCGCATTCCTTTCTGCATGCCGAAGCGTTTCACCCCCTCGTTTCTCTGTCCATCCAAACAATCTGCGATTGATGGAGACGGCGTCTTTCAGGAGAATGAATTTCACCCCATCATGCAGGAATCTGGCCGGGTGGTCACTCACCCTTCACTTAGCTTTTTTTTTTTTGTCGTTGGTGGTTTTTTTTCATCTTATTTACGACTTTAAATTCCAACCCCAAGCTCCAGCCACAGATTGAGTTGCTAAAAATACAGCCCGAGAGGGGTTTTTTACCTTCTCCGTGGAGAGCTTTTAGCTTCTCCTTAGAGGTGGCGCAACGTTAAAGCCCGATGGAACCTTTTGCCATGTAACCGCTAGATTTACCAATTTGTGGGATCTCAAAAGAAAATTAAGTCGAAGGCTGACATTTGACATCACCTTGATGAGTCAGGTGGTTGGCAGACAGCGAGTGTCACACCCTCGCCTCGACTGAGTGCAAACCGCAGCCCCTCTTCAAGCAAAAAAAACCAAACAAACAAAAAAACCACCCCCAAACCCCCAAAAATCCTCCCGAACGAGACATCTGGGAATTCAACCGTCGCTGTTTCATCCCATCCAGTACAACAAACATTTATAACGGCGCCGTGTCTTATTTTCTACCGGTCGGCGCAGTCCTACGGTTCGATCCGTTGCTAAAGGTGAAGTTGATACAGGCAAGCGTCGATTTAATCCAGCAGCGAGTGCTGCCTGTTTCGTCTTGGCTTCGTAGGGTGTTGTTTTTTTTTTCTCCCCGTGCTGAGGAAATAGCCGGAGGTCTGCGGGGAGCGGCGCCGAGGATAAACGCTCACATCCCGTTTGCACGACGGGCTCTACGAGAGGAAACGACACATCGCTATCAGTGCACCGATTAGGGAAGGTGTGTGGAGTCAAACTTGGGAGTTTGAGCCGTAATTTAAGAAATTGAAAGAAAATAAAACCCCCAAAATAATAATAATAATCCACTTATCGACGTCTTTACCTTGAGTTGTCTTCACGTCAAGATTTCCTGCCTGCCCGAATCCTGTATAGATCCACCCACTCTCTCTGCTTGGTGTTTCTCCATCACTTGCAGGACATCCTCCAAGATGGACGGCCCCAAATCCACGTGGAGGGAAAGGAGGGAGCCGGCATGGGAGAGGAAGGATGGCTCGGCGTTGCCCTTCTCCTCGGCGAAGCCGTTCGTCGGGGCGGCGAAACGCGAGGCGCAGGGATGCGGCAGCAGGGCGGCGTTTCTGCCCTCGCCGTTCTCCTCCCCACCTTCCCAGCTTTGCGCCGACGGAGCTTTGTCATCGAGGTGTAACCGCGGCGGTTTTGGCGGGGCTTGTGCCGAGGGCAGCGTCAAGGCCTGCGGCCCCCCGATGACGGGCAAGGAGATGGCGTTTTTGAGGAGGGGAGATGAAGTCTCCGAGGACGGCTGCTCACATCCGGAAATGGTGGCCGTCCTGGAGAATTCGAATGGCGCCGCGTCGGGGCTGTCCTTGTCGGAGTCGAAGCTGCCTTCGGTCCTGGGGAGAAGATGAAACTTGCCCTGAAGGAAGGAGATGTCCCCAAACATGTCGCTCTCCCCGCCGCTGCCGATGTGAATCGTGTGCCTGAAGTCCCCCAAGGGCGGGCTGATCATGTCGGAGGAGAGGATGTCGCGGAGCTTCTCCTTCTTCCCCTTCCTGCTGCCCCTCTTCAGGTAGATCGGCACCTTGGTGGACATCTCACCAAGGAGCAAAGCTCTTCCACGCCAAGTCCAGCCAACTCAAGAGATGGTAGCCTTCCTAGACCTCAGCAACGCGGGCTTTAAAAATAATCTGCAAAATTAAAAAAAAAAAAAAGGAAAAATGCTTAAAAGCAAGTTATAACATGTAGGACGGAGATCCTCAACGTCAACACGTCCCAGGAAATTAATTCCAGACGTTCTCTGGTTCTCTATCTAAAATTTGTTGGCTGCGTTATCGATAACAAAACAACCCAGGTAATTAAATCCAGGCACACAGGGCCTCTCCTCAAGATTGGTTTTGAGTGGGAGAAAAATCAGGAACAGAGTCAGAGCAGGAAATCCAAGAGGATTTGCATCTTTACGGTGGAATCGGGGTCCGGAGTTAAAAGGTTGGGAGAGCACAGCATTGGAAAGTGGCTTTTCTAGCCCAGAACATTTCAGTTCTCTCTCCTCTTGGCCGTGCATAACCCAGCCCCACCCAACGACGAGCTAAAATAAAAGATAATAGAGATTAAGGCAGGAGGGGGAAGGAAGTTGGTTTTTTTCCCGTTTTAGTCATATTCATTCAACCCTTGACAGTTTATGCATTCAGTTCTAGGCCTGATTTTTCAGCTGTAGGGAGGAAGAAAGTAAAAATGGGAAATTTTGGTGATAATAGCATTACGCACAACCTCGGGAGATGCCTTGGTGGGACAGAAAAAGGGATGAAATGGGTTTCAGGCCACCTGAGCATTACTTTTTAAAATCAGCATGTGAAGGGTCTGGAGATTTAGCCTTTATCACTAACTTTCTGGGACAAAAATGCCATCTCTCCACGTTTCTGTAAAACCGTATCCAATCTGCTGTTGACTACAAGTAGAAAACAGAGTTTAAGTCATTTAGAGACAGGTTTGTCCGGCACTGAGCCCCGCCACCGCTAAAACAACCGCCTGTAACTGCTTCCAGCCCGTTTTACGCTGTTTGTAACACACCTCCTGGTACGTCCCCATTTGGAAAGCGAGACCCAACGATGAAACCACCACCGAAACCACCACGGCTGAGCCCTGCTCCTCAAATCAACCCCTGAACTGTCCCGGCAAGAGGTCACAAGCAATTCCCCAGTTGTGGTTTTCCCATCAGCCGCTACCGATGAACAACGCAAAGCCCAGCTGGGAAACAGTTGTTCCCCTTGTGTTTTACAGCCCCAGTAACCACATCAGGTGCTTTTCTCTGGCCGAAACCCGCCCCGGACGGTGCCAAAGAGCCAGCAAAAACCAGTCTGAAGCCGACGCCGGATGAATGGAGCCAGGTGACCTCCCCGAGGGCTGGCGTTTCAATTACAGCAAGAGCCGCGCGCTCGGCGCTGTTAAACACCGCGTCAGTCGGTGGGTGTTGGCTCTGGGATTTCAAGCGCTGGGGTTTCGAGGCGGCACGGTCCCACTGAGACTGCAGAGGGCTGCTGGATCGTCCTGTCCCTTCCCCGAACCACACCTGCCCACTGCCCCTTGAATCTGTTCTTAAAAATATAATAATAATACACAGAGGGATGGAAAATCCCGTGTTCACCTTCAACCACCTGATGCACCGTCGTTATCGGTAGAAAGCACTGCCGAAACCACATCTGTGGTCTCGTCCTGTCTACGCTGCTCACTTTATTCCCCTTCCCCCCCCCCCAATTGCTTCGTCTTGGTGCCAAACACCACGGTTACATCTCCCCGCCTGCGGAGACCCACGTACACACTGCTACAGCCGGAGACGCTCCCGAGGTCACATTGGGTTGACAGCAGCGTGGGGGAGAGGAGATGGAGCGGCAGAAGATCACCCAAACGGCTCGAAACGAAGCACGGACGAGATGCCGACGATGCCGTCAGCATCAGGAACGCGGCCCTGGGAGGAACGCAGTCACCGGTAAGCCCGTTCCCGGCGGCTCCAGCCAGGGAAAAATCCTGACGATGCAGAATTCGGCTTCGTTAATCCCGGGCGGATTAAAGCGGGTGGCGTAATGACAGCCTGCAGAAGCGGCGGCTGCGCCGCTCGCGTGAAATACAGGCGCCGTGAGGACATCGGGGAAAGGGGGGCGAGAGGATGACGGCGGAGCCGATGCTGGACGCAGAGAGGGGGACTGAGGGAAGTGCTTCTTCATGGAGATCTGGATTCGGAGGAGCACCGGTGCTTCCCAAAACGCCTGTCGGATGCGTGGCCACAAGGCACCCTTGCTCAGTCAGCTTCCCCAGTGCCACACTGGGGAACCCACAGTCATGGGTTAGCTGCAAAAAAGCACTGAAATCATTAGGGGAAAAAAAAAAAAGTGGATTTGTAGGAAAAAAAAACTCTCGTCAGTCAGAAATATTTAATATTTTCAGGTTAGGATGTAGGATGATGCTGATGGAGACGAGCGTGCACCGGGGGGAGACCACCACCATGACAAGGATTGTTCCCCCTCCCGGACAACACAGGAGCTTCGGTTCAACATCTTCACAGAAATCGCTCTCCCTCACCCCAATTTCTCCCCCGCTCCATCCTCCTTTTCCCCAGTCTGGGCTCCGGCTGAAAACCCAGCACCCCACTGGGCTGGGACAAAGGCCGCCTGTGATCGCCGCGAGCGCCGAAGCGAGCTCCCGGGGCCGGGTGAACGCTGGGAAAGTTCAGGGCTGCGGGTAGCGCCCTTTCCCTTTGTGCGCAGGGAGAAAGAAAAGACCTCAAAAAAGGGGATTTGCTGCCAGCGCAGCCTGGGAAAGGGTCAGTGGGCCCCGAAAGCACGGGGAATAGGGATTTTTTTGATCAGAGAAATCCTTAAAATCCCTTTTCCCGGCATTTTCCTGCACCGGCAATCAAGTAAACCTGCTCAAAAGATGGGAGCGTTACCACTGCACTCAATTCCCTGTAGTAGTGATGCAAAACAGGTGGAAAACAAGTCGGAAAGGGAGTAAAACCAAAATAAAACCTGCGATAACTTATTTACGGGTGTTTTCACCAGCGTTCATCCGTGCGGTGCATCCCCCCGTCAGCCAAGCTGCCGCAGGTGCCTCTTCCCAGCCCGCCGGGTGCATCCCCCGATGATTTAAGTCTTTAACCAAAAGTTTTCCGCTTCCCAATTAACACTGCGTGACGAGACGTACCCCATTAGCACTGTGGTTCGGTCAAGGGGGGATGGCGATTTGCCACGCTGCTGCTAATTAGCATTTCATGACAGAACCATCACTAAAAACTCATTAAAACCCAAGAATAATCCAGGTGTCCCATGCAACGAGACTCATGGCTGTCGGTAAAGAGAGAAATGGGGAAAATTAGATGTTTTGTGGCAGGATAAAAGCGGGAGGTGCTTCAAGAGAGGATCCAAGGACTTAAACTCGACCTGCGCCCCACATCAGGCTTCGTTTTAGCTTCTCGTCGTTAAGAAATCAGCTGAAAGCTTGAGGCACAAGATTTAACATCCATCCAACCATCTCTGCTGACATCTACCTCTGGGATATTCGCCCCTTTCCCCGATTTATGGAAGTAAAATTTCCTACAGGGTAAAATTTGTTTCTTTTTTGCCCATTTTCATCAATTTGGGCTTCGGTACATGAAATCTTGTTTCTTTTCCACCTGTTTTTGGCAGTTTAGGCTTTGATTCACAAAAAAATTTGTTTCTTTTTGGCCCGTTTTCAGACATTTAGGCTTTGATACACAAAAATTCGTTTCCTTTCTGCTGGTTTCCAGCAATTTATGCCTCACTACATGAAAATTTGTTTCTTTTCTGCCCGTTTTCAGCAATGTAGACTTTGGGACACAAACATTTTGTTTCTTTTTTGTCCACTTTCAGCAACTTAGGCTTCAGGACGTGAAAATTTGTTTCTTTTTCTGTCTGTTTTCAGCATTTTGTGCTTTGCTACAGAAAAATTTGTTTCTTTTAGCCCATTTTCAGCATTTTATGCTTCATTACGCAAAGACCTGGCGCTTCCTCAGCCCCCTGGTTACTCACAGAGCAGCAATTTTCCTACCCCGGCGTCTCCGCAAACTATTTTATCAAGATTCCGCAAAAATAGTGATTAAACGACAGTGGCTTAAACTCATTTTCCCACTTGAAGGTGTGGAAATCAAGCGAGTGAGCAACCGCTGCGGAAAATGAAGCCAGTTCCTTCCATCTTTCCTCCTCTTGACCCTTTCTGCACCTTTTATCGGTGCCCAGGGAAAATCCTCACCTAAAAATTTGCACCTGGAAAGAGGTTTTGGCCTTGTATCCCCCACAGAGGAAGGGATATTCACGTGGGAGATGAAAATGCCCCCCCCTTTTCCCGTGGTCCCCGAGCTGGAAGAGCGCCAGGGTGCAAAAAACGGACCCTTTGGGGAATAGCGACCCTTCTGGATGGGGATTACAGATTTTTTTAGGGAATAAGGATGTTTCGGAGCGATGCCAAAAGCCTGTGGGTTGATGCCCCGGCAGCCAGCATCGATCCATGGGGAAAGATTTATCCGAGATCATCCTGGTTATCACAGAAGCTGAAATCGGTTAAAATGGAGAATTAATTTCTCTCCGCAGGATCGCAGTGCCGTCGCTGTCCTACCTCAAGCATCCAGCGCCGAATCTGGATAAGGGGTGCGCACCGGATGGGCAAGCGGGGAGGGAAGCGCTGCTGGTGAGGTCTCCGTGCCGAGGGACACCGCGGCAAGGTGTGTGCGGGACACGGCAGCGCCGGCCGTCTCCTCCTAACAGCTGCATCATCAAACGCTCCCGGGTTTTTTCCCCAGGACCAGGAAAACACCGATATCAGGGAGAGATTTTCACTGATAAGGAAAATCCAAGGTGGAAAGCTTGAGGATGAGTAAACGCCGGCGCACGGTAGGAAAATGCGGCGGCCTCAACCGTAGCCGAACCCCTCCTGTACCTCAGTTTCTCCAGCTGCGTGCCATGCACCCCACTGCAGTGGCAACAAACCAAAGCTGAGAAGTTGGCGGGGGGTGGGGGGCGGAAAAAGCCTTAAAACCAGGGAAAACAGCTCTTTAGTGCGGCTCCTCCAGGCCAAGCCCCACCCGATGCTGGGGGAGCGCCGGGAATTCCCGGGTAGGGATCGTGGCGCAGGCATTCAGGGTGGGATGAGGGCACAGGTCGCTGCTCTTTCCCC